TTGAGGACTTTTCCCGTTTCACATGGGCTCTCCTTTTAAAATCTAAGGCTGATGCTCGACCCTCTTTACAAAATTTCATTACCATGATTCAAACTCAATTTCACATAACTGTTCAATGTATTCGATCAGATAATGTGGCTGAATTTGCTATGTCCTCATTTTATCAAAAGAAAGGCATCCTTCATCAAAAGAGTTGTGTAGAAAACCCCAACAAAATGGTGTTGTTGAGCGAAAACACCAACATATTTTAAATGTGGCACGAGCCATTATGTTTCAGTCAAAATTGCCATTACCTTTTTGGTCTTTTGCCATTACACATGCCATCCATATCATCAACCGAACAACCACACCTCTTCTCAAATACCAAACTCCATATGAAATTCTGTATAAACAGCCTCCTACCCTATTGCATCTTAAAGTTTTTGGTTGCTTGTCTTATGCATCTACTCTTTTGTCTCACAGAACTAAATTTTCATCAAGAGCTCATAAATCAGTATTTTTGGGCTACCAAGAGGGTGTCAAAGGATATATCCTTCTTGACATTCATACCAGAAAAATATTCTTGTCACGAAATGTCATATTTTTTGAAACTGAGTTTCCTTTCACTGTTTTACATCATGCTTCTGTCCCTCCCAATTCTCATGTTTCCCCCCAATACACATATAGATGACTTTGATCATTCTTCCTACCCTACACCAATAGTAATGCATCCACCAAACCCCATTCCCCACACTGACATACCCCCAGCCAATCCCAATACTCAATCTACCCCATCAATATCCACTCTACCATCTCTTCCTGTTACTGACCAACTCATACAGCCTATGCCTATTCCCACACGAAAATCCACTAGATTGAGTAGACAACCATCTTACTTGCAAGATTATCACTGTACTCTATCAGCTACATCATCTATTCCATCTCACTCAGGTAATTCTTCTTCCACTCCTCTTTATCCCATATTTTCAGTTTTGACTTATGATAATTGTTCTCATTCCTATAAAACCTTTTGCTGTAACATCTCCACACACAAAGAACCAAATACTTATCTACAGGCTTCCAAACATGATTGCTGGCGCCAAGCAATGCAGGCTGAAATTTCAGCTCTTGAACTCAATAAAACTTGGACTCTTGTACCTCTTCCCCCTGGCAAGAACATCATTGGGTGTAAGTGGGTCTACAAGATCAAGTTTCATGCTGATGGTTCCATTGAGAGATACAAGGCACACCTTGTAGCCAAAGGGTATACCCAAGCTGAAGGATTGGATTATCTTGATACTTTCAGTCCAGTGGCCAAGCTCACTACTGTTCGATTGCTCATCTCTCTTGCTTCCTCCAAACAGTGGTTTTTAGAGCAACTTGATGTCAATAATGCCTTTCTCCATGGTGATCTACATGAGGAGGTATGCATGGCTTTACCACCTGGCTCACACTCTTCCAATTCTTCACTTGTTTGCAGGCTCCACAAGTCTCTCTACGGGCTCAAGCAAGCAAGTAGACAGTGGTACTCTAAACTGTCCACTGCTTTGCTGTCTCTTGGATATTCTCAGTCTCAAGCTGATTTCTCCTTTTTTACCTGAAAGCAGGATCACTCATTTACAGCACTCCTTGTATACGTTGATGACATCATACTTGCTGGTGACAATATGGATGAAATTCACAGAGTCAAGTCTTTTTTGGATGCCACATTCAAGATCAAAGACTTAGGTAAACTCAGATTTTTTCTGGGCCTTGAGGTCTCTCGTGCTTCATCAGGAATCATCCTCAACCAACGTAAATACACTCTGGAGCTACTCTCAGACTCTGGTCTATTAGCTTGCAAGGCCGCTAATACTCCAATGGATTCCTCTTTGCGTCTTCGTCGTGATCTTGGTGAGCCTCTACCTGATGCTTCTCTGTATCGCAGACTCATTGGACGTTTGTTGTACCTCACCACCACCCGTCCAGATATAAGCTTCAGTGTTCATCAGTTAAGTCAGTATCTGTCTGCTCCAACTACCATTCATCTTGAGGCTGCTCATCGTGTCTTGCGGTATCTCAAAGCCTCTCCTGCCCAAGGGTTATTCTTTCCTGCTAACTCTTCTCTACAGCTCAGTGGCTTTGCTGATGCCGATTGGGCTTGTTGCCCTGACACACGAAGATCAGTGACTGGATTTTGCATCTTCCTTGGTTCTTCTCTTATTTCCTGGAGATCAAAGAAACAAACTACTATCTCCCGCTCATCCACTGAAGCTGAATATCGTGCTTTGGCTGCCATAACTTGTGAGATACAATGGCTATCCTATCTTCTTCATGATTTTTGCATCCCGCGGGAGAAACCAATTCCGGTTTTCTGTGACAACCGTTCAACTATTTACTTTCTCACAATCCAGTTTTTCATGAACGATCCAAGCACATCGAGCTTGATTGTCACATCACTCGGGAGAAGATTCAATCAGGTCTCTTACATATTCTTCCTATCTCCACTGCTGACCAGACAGCGGACATCTTCACCAAAGCTTTGTCACCTTCACCCTTCACTGCTCTCCATGACAAACTTGGTCTTCGTGATGTTCATACCCCAGCCCAAGCTTGTGCGGGGGGGGGGGGGGGGTGTTACCAGACCAAAATCTAAAATGATTTGGGCTTGTTGAGGCCCAGCCCATTAACTTAACTAATCAGTTAGTTCAATTTATGTTAGCTAGTTAGTTAGGATTATGTTAGTTTTGGTTAGCTGGTAGTTCCTAGAAACCTTCTGTATATAAGGATTAATCCTTTTTGCTTTCATCAATTATTCAAGAAATATTCTTCAATCTTTGCTTCAACTATCTTCTTTCTCTCGATTCTGCAACATTTGCATGGTGATGCTGCTGTTGTAGTACATCCAATAATTAAAATTAGATACTTTGCAAATTTAGCGTAGATTGTGGGAACCATCTCACCGTACCCCTTATTGATTACAAGATCCATATTTATTTTATCTTACTGATGGGGTATTACACTATTACTTGGGGGAAAAAAACAACAACTTGAATATACGGATCCATTTGCATCGTCACGATATGAGGTAACAGTGATCAAAACATTATTTTTTGTCAAATTTTTTATTCAAATACCACATAAATAGTACTTTTTATCCATGTGATGTAATTCGTTATAATTGGTAGCAAATTATATTCGTCGATAATTTTGTAACACGTGATACACTTTCTCAGAAGAAAGCTGACAGAACTAAATTTACTATCGGTGATAACAAATTTGATATGCAATATGACTACGTATCACAAGATTATTGATCACAAAATTCACTCCCAGTGATATCGAATTATAACAAATGATAATCTGATAAAAAATATTATTCGCATTACAAATGAGTAAAAAAATTACCAAAAAATGATATTTTGATCTCTATTTCCATATGAGTGTTGTAAAACAAAAAATACACGTGAGTGGACCCACTGTGACGTGAGACTTTCGTTTGGTCTGAGAAACGGTTTAGATTCTATTTCGTAAAAGGAAAATACATGGGAGTCAGTGAGTTGACCCACTGTTGCATGAAATTCTCGAGCGATCTAAAAAAGGATTTAAATTTTGTTATAAATATTATAAACTAAGCATAAATTATACGATACTTTTATTAGAGATTCTCAAATTACAATGTCATTTTTTAAAAATTGATCCATTTTTTCACAGCATATTCATTTTTATTTTTTAAAATATATTCACTAATATTTAAAATATTATTAATTATATTTAATAAAACTTTAAAATTTGTAATAAAATTAAAAGCTAATAAATGTTTAACAAATTACTTAAATACTAGAATTGGTAAAGGTATCATACTAATTTTCTGTATACAGAAATAAATAACTTAAATAATTTTATCTATAAACATGTTGCTCATGAATATGCTAAAGTATTAATTATAGAACTTATAATATTATTTATAAAATATTTTTGATTATTATTAATTATATTTAACAAAAATGATAAATTTGTAATAAAATTAAAAGCTGATAAATGTTTAACAAATTACTTAAATACTAAAATTGGTAATGGTATCATACTAATTTCCTGTATACAGAAATAAATATTTTAAATAATTTTGCCTATAAATATGTTGCTCATGAATATGCTAAAGTATTAATGATTATAGAACTTATAATATTATTTATAAAATATTTTTGATTATTCAATACAATTTAAAATATTTGTCATTTAAGGTTATATACAATAAATAAGATGGCCATTAAATAGCTTTAATTTTATTCAATTAAATTACTCATCATTAGAATATTAAAGAATTTTTTTTAACAAAGCGATAAAGAAATTCAAAGAATACAATTATCTTAACATAAATGAATATTTTGAATCTGAGAAAAAATTTAATGGTGCACACATTAAATGCATTTTGAATTTATAATGTATTAAATGTTTTGTATTTTATTCAAAGATTCAATTAAGCGGTGTCAGAGAATAGATTAACGAGTATTTAATACTTTCAATCATTAAAAAAAAAATCGGTGTTTGTCATTTTAAATGACATAAATTATGTCATATTTATATCATTTTAAGAAAGAAATAGACATAAGAAATGAAAATTATGAAAGATAAAGTGAGTGACTTTTTTAATTTAAATTTTAAATAAAAAATATTTTCTTGTATCTATCTCTTTTAAAATGATATAATTTTATGTCATTTGACAAACACTTTTCTCTACAAAAAAAATATTAAATGTAATAATTTCTCTAGTTTTTATTTAATATTTTTCACTTTTATTTCTTTAACTGCCTCAGGAGTATTTATCAATAAATCATTTTTTTAATGCATTTTAATATTTTATATGTTTTTCATTGGATTCTGTGCACAAATGATTTGTTTTGCAGATTAGTTCCTGGGTTTATAAATCCACAGTAATCGCTAGTTCACAGTCTTCACTGCTTCTTCTTCTTATTCTTCTTCTGATCCTGCTTTCCCACCCAAATCAAAATCCCTAATTATCAAAAATTTCCCCCCTCACCATGGAATTTCAGAAGAAGCAAAAGATTGACGAGGGTGGCCACTTCGAATCCCCTCCACCACCCTCCTCCGCCGCCATTGCCTCCCTCACGCCGGAAGAAATTCTAAAAATCATCAAACCCTTTGACCGAAACAAGGTCATCGACATTCTCGAAACCGCAGCACTTCGTCACCCCGAAGTGCTCAACGCCATTCGTTCCGTCGCCGACCGCGACACCAATCTCCGGAAGCTCTTCGTCCGGGGACTCGGCGGCGACACCACCAGCGCCTCACTCCACGAGGTCTTCTCCGCCTTCGGGCCTATCGACGAGGCCGCAGTCATCTACGACAAAGCGACGGGTAGGTCCAAAGGTTACGGCTTCGTGACGTTCACGCACGTTGACGGCGCCGTTTCGGCTGTGAAGGAAACCAGCAAGATAATAGACGGGAGAATGACGGTTTCTAATCTTGCTTCTGTTGGTGTTTTGAGGGACGATAACGAGGTTTGGACGAGGAAGATCTTCGTGGGGAACGTGCCGTTTGATATGTCGCCGGGGAGGCTGTTGACTTATTTTGAGACGTTTGGTGAGGTGGAAGAAGGGCCTCTTGGGTTTGAGAAATGGAATGGAAAGACCAAAGGCTTCGCTTTCTTCGTGTACAAAACGGAGGAAGGTGCGAAAGCCTCGTTGGTTGAGCCTATCAAGACAATTGATGGGTTTCAGGTGAATTGCAAGTTGGCCATTGAAGGCAAGAAGGGAAGGCCATTAACAACAACAGCGACGACGTCGCAGGGTACCCAGGGTTTTGCTGGAGATGGAATGAATGGTCAGCAACAGTTTCAGCAGCAGCAGCAGCATGCTCCTACTACTACGATGGATCAGTCATCACAACAATATTGGGGGTATGGATATGGATATGCTGCTCATCATGCTCCGTTGCCTGGACCTGGAATGCAGTCGTCTTCGTTTGGTAATCCATATGGTTATGGTTATGGTGGTTACGCTTACGACTATGGAGGAAGCATGCATCCGAATTATTATGCTGGTGGAATCCCTGCTGGGGGATTTGGAGATGGCTATGCGCATCAACAACAGCCCATGCAAGTTCCCACTCAGCCACCCCAAGGCACGTTCCAAGGCATGTTGCCTTATCAATGAGGTAATCATCGTATTTGATATTCAGTTGTGGTTTGCCGTATCTGAGCTAAGTAGGTGGGGTGAGAGCATGTGTTCGAATCTTCTCAGTACTATCTTTTGGGAGGGGTTTGAAGTCTTAATCTTGGACTCGCCACGAATCAGAATATTTGTGAAACAATGAACTAATTGGAATATTTCAAAAAAAGAAGAAGAGAGAAGTGTTTGTGTTATTTTTAATGAATTTATCTGGTGTATTTTTTGTATTTTTTTATAAAATTAAGAAGAAGAAAAATATATAAGAAAGAGAATCTAAAAACATAACATAGTTTTATTAAAAATGACATAAAAATTATGTCATAATAAATACTTTTCCGTTATTTTATACGTTTTGTGCTTCTCTTAGATTTACGCGTTGGATTTGTGTTCTTGGTGTACTTTGAAATTATTTTTTGGGTATATAGCTGCTGTTGGTTTACTTGCTTCAGCACTTTTTTGGAAGGAAAAAAACACCTCAAGTTTTTTTTTTTTTTTTTTTAATTTTACATGCAACTTTTTCTCAATTTGGAAAATGAGACCTAAGGTCTGAGTAATTGTATAGTTTTTTTTTTTAGTTTTTTTAATATGCTGGATTTAAAGGGAAGAAACAATAAGAGGACGTTTGGATAGACATTTTTTTTCTAAAAAAAGTTTCTTTTTTTTTCAAAACAAAAAATTCTTTTGAGTCATTTCAGTCGTTTGATTCCTTTCTTCTAAAGAAAGGAAAAGTCAAAAGTTAAATAATTTTTAAAAATTTCAATTTTATATATCTCAATCCCACTCCAATTACTCAACCCCATTATCCCTATTACCATCACATATCCTTTTAGGTAATATTATATAAAAAATATTTATTATTTTTAACATCCAAATAACTTTTTTATTTAAAATTACTGCATTTTATCCAAATGTAAAAGGTTTTAACAATTAAGAAATGCTATTATAAAAAAAGCAAGCTATAAAAATTCCATCCAAATGGGCTCTAAGTAGATGGATTTTTTTTATTTTCCTTTTTTTAGTTTGATGGAATAGAAGGGACAGATTGAGATGTAATGGAGATTTGAAAGAAAAGGAAGCAGTCTTTCCTTACCTACAATTAAACCTCCTTATGAAACCAAACATAGTATAATATAAATGTATCTGTTTCTTTGAGCTGAACTTTCTCTTCAGCATGTATACTGTTTTCAAGGAAGTGGAGCTTCATTATGAGTTTATTACTTTGTAATAAAGACCATGATCACTATCTATCTCTACCTTCATGTATTTTTTAATGCATATGCATTTATACAGGAACTTGTGGATGGCTCTTCCATCTTGCCAATCTGCATTTTGCAAATTGCTTGATGATATGAACTGGGTTCGGAAATATTTGTCTGTCTATTGTAGTTGTTGTTGATTCAAGTTTACTTATTTGTTAATTCTGATAATTATTTGAGCAATGATTATGATTTTCAATAGTTCATTGTGTTATCAAAATGTTAATAATTACTGATTTGAGTTTTGAATAGGTTTTTGGTTCAGGTTTGTGATGGCTTCTTGGGCTGATTTCCTGCCTATAGACAATGATATCTTTGGTTTTGGTTGCGACTGCTGAAAATTTGTTGCTGCTTCACTACCCCTGCTTCGATGTTTTGTGGTTTCATTTGTGATGGATGTTAGGGAAAGCTTACATAACATTCTGTAGTATTTGGATGAAGTACTTATGTAATCTCTGCAGAACATTTTATTCAATGGTTTTATTTATTTTATTTTATTTTATTTTATTTTTTCTAAATCAGGTTTCTAAATTACTGAGAAAATGCCATGGTGGTGTGGCCTTGGATTTTGAAATTTATTTTATTATAATCTATTTTCCTCTATGCATGCGTGCACATTGTGGAGGTGTTTGGTATGTAGGAAAAAAAAAATTTCTGGGAAAATGATATTGAATTTCTTATTTTTCCATGTTTGGTATAATGATGTGCAAAAATTTTCCTGAAAAAATCACAATCTTAGGATTCTGATTTACACGTACAAATCCCAACCCAGAATACCATCAAACATGTGGTATTTTGAGAATCCCACAATGGGAAACTTTGGTAAATTTTCTGGGACAAAATTAACTTCGTCTTTTCTTCTTCTTTTGACTCCATTATTGCTGAGCTTCTTTCCTTTTGCTAAAGATGGCATTTTACTAAAGAATCGTGGGTGCTAATCAAAAGCAATATTATAGTACTTTCTCAAATTTTGTACTGTTTGTAACTCCTTAGTTGATGTTCCAAATTCCAGTTAACTTAAACTATATTCACTAACATTCGATTTCTGAACTCGCGAGTTAGACATGGCAATTATCTCTTATTCCCACACGGAGATGAACAGAAAAAGACTCACTCCAAAACCAAACCTTTCCCATCACATTCTTCTTTGTCTTAGTTCAGTGCGAGTTTTGATCGATCCAATCCTGTTGCGTTTCTGGAGAGAGTCTTCGAATTCATCTTCCAAGAAAGCGACTTTCTGGAGATAGAGACTGCTGAGAAGGAGGTAGCATCTGTGGTGCGCGCTATGGGAAAGAAGAAGAAGAAGAGAGGACCTAAAGGCCTTGGAGTAGAGAGAAAAGGTGGAGAAAAGGTTGAAGGAAGAGAAGAAACTCAAAGTGGAGGACAATAAGAAAGATGAAAGCCGCATAGGTTATTTTCATAAAATTACTCCACGTTCTCAGCAATATTTTATAATCAATCAAACATAACATTAGGAAAATTGACTCAACATTGTCGAAATATTTTGGCTTATAAACAGCTTTTTGGTAACATTTCCGAAAAATTCACTTTCTCATCATATTTTTGGGAATCGTGATTCCCGAGTAAAAAAATTTCTCCACCGTATTCCTTTCTTTCCTTATTCATATATCCACCTCAACATCTTCATTATTCTATGCTTACATTGCTTCTGTGTTAGCCTACATTCATCTCCATATAACATTGCTCATGGTGGGACAATTTACATATTTGAGTAATTTTGAATTATATGTCCCATTTGTTTTGAAGTTAAATTCAGCATCAAGTGATCTCTAAAGTGGAATTCAGAAGAGTCTAGTTTTGAAAGGTTGCTGTGTTTCTTCTTAGAGGTCAGATATGGTGTTGATTTGGCCCTGAAATTGATGCTTACCTTCTTCTCCTTTTAAAATTGCCAACGGCTTGTGAGAAGAAAGATTATCTATTTATAAAGATAAGAAAGATTATTCTTGTGAGAAGTATAAAGAATTTAAGTTGCTTAAAGCTCAACTGGAGTTCAATTATTACTTTGTTGATGATACAGAGAAAAAAACGAATAAAGTGTAAATTAAAATTAGATAATTAATATGACTAAAGATTTTATAAGTTTATAAGTTTCCTCTAGTTGTATTATAAAAGAAGGTTGATGCACTTAAGTCACCATAAATTATTATAATTGCAGTCGTTTTAGTTTTAAAGCTTTTTATGGATTTTAATAATTGCAGACGTTTCAGTTTGCATGACTTTATGTTTTGTTTATGGTTATTTTCGTTTTGTATCAGTTTTTAAGACCATTGATGGTCCTTTGTTGTCGGTTACTCTTTGTATTGCCTTTAAAAGGCTGGTTAGAAGGATGTGAGGGGAGACTTTTGATGATTGAAGAATGATAATATAGCAGAAAACTTCTGCATTTTCCTGAAAGCCTGTTTTCCATATAATTTTGCACCATTTGGTATCAGAGCTCAGGTTGCCTTAAAGATGACTGAGCAGGAAAATCGCGGAGGTCATGGTCGTGGTCGTGGACGAAGAGGTCGTTGCGGCAGACGCGGTCAACAACCTACCGATGGTGATTATTATACTGATGCGAGAGATGCTGAAATTGAGGAAAAGGACATACAGATCCAAGAACTCGAACAACTGTTTGCAGAGGCACAGTTGCACGAGTCAGATGAAGGATGGGAATCTGAAAGATCATCTCATGAGGAGGAAAGAAGATTATGGAACCGGAACCAGGAGCGACCAGGACGAAGTCAACCTGGAAATCAATCCTTTTTTGCTAATATTGAGGTGAAGATTGAGATCCCGGAATTCGAAGGCACCACTCATCCAGATGAGTTTATCGACGGGTCACACACCCTCAAAAAGGTCTTTGACATCATAGACTTGACAGAAGACCAGAAGGTCCCAATCTATGATGAATATGATGATTCTCAAGATGATGAGAATCCTGTTATGGATGCTCTAATTTATGACAAGTTCCCTATCTATGATAAGTATGATTGGGAGCAAGACGACGAGAATCCAGAGGTGAAAGAAATCTCTTGTAGTGATTCCGATGGAAAGTCAGTTATTAGAAATTCTAATATCTTTGACAAAGATGAAGTTCTACCCAAAGATATCATGCATAATGATCCTTCATCCAAGACGTCTTTAGTTTGCAAGCAGTATTATGAATTTGGGGACAACGAGCATAACAACCTTATGCTCCATAGAGATAAAGATTTAGCTTTTGGTAAAAGTTTAATTGGCCATCGTCAAGGGCAATGGGACTTGTTGGTACATCAGACAAAGTTTTCCTATGACGGATCACAGATGCGATCATTGATCCAAACTACAAATGAATATACCAAGCATGTCAAAGAATTGCATTTCCAAGTCCTAATCTTAATTAGGAAATTTGGTAATATTGTACCAGAAGAGTTGCCGCCTGGATTACCACCTGAAGACGTTGCAGATTCGAGGGCGAATCTTTTCCTAGTGGGAGAGGATGATGCACTTAAGTCACCATAAATTATTATAATTACAGTCGTTTTAGTTTTAAAGCTTTTTATGGATTTTAATAATTGCAGACGTTTCAGTTTGCATGACTTTATGTTTTGTTTATGGTTATTTCCGTTTTGTATCAATTTTTAAGACCATTGATGGTCCTTTGTTATCAGTTACTCTTTGTATTGCCTTTAAAAGGCTGGTTAGAAGGATGTGAGGGGAGACTTTTGATGATTGAAGAATAATAATATGGCAGAAAATTTCTGCATTTTCCTGAAAGCCTGCTTTCTATATAATTTTGCACCAAAGGTATTTGAAGTAAATAATTGATTACGAAAACTATTTAAAGAATGCATATAAAAATAGATTTATAATTTCTTAGCAGCTGATGGTATCAAAAATTAAAAATAGTAACTATTGCTTACGACAATTATAAGACAAACAAAGCTAGAGAGAAGTTAGATATTTTATTATTAGTACGTCAGAATATAATTCATATTATCTCTATGTATAATTGAAGGTGGAGGAAGTAAACAAAGTCTCTTGATCTGCTATATAATGTTAGGGAAATGCATTTGTCATGTTACATTACAAATGAATAGTTGTTAGAGTAAATACTATTTTTGATCCCTAATAAAAAAACACGGTCTTCACTTTAGTCCCTTACAAAAATAAATTAGTCAGTTAGTCCCTAACAAATTCAAGGTGGACCCATTTTAGTCATTTTGAGGGACTAATATGGGTCTTTTTTGAATTTGTGAGAGACCACGATTTCAACTAAATGGGTCCACTTTGAATTTGTTAGGGACTAACTGACTAATTTATTTTTGTAAGGGACTAAAGTGGGAACCATGTTTTTTGTTAGGGACTAAAAATGGTATTTACTCTAGTTGTTATGTTAAGAAAAAGACAAGACAACTTTATTGAATAATGTATCCTCTCACTTTTTTAATATTATATAATTTGTCTTTTTCTTAACACGACAACTATTCATTTGTCATCTAACATGACAAATGTATTTCCCATAATGTTACTACATATATTTGTTTTATTTTCCTCAAACTCAAGTTATCAAATGTAAATAACTAATTAGTTGAGGCCTTTAGTATCGTGATAATAGCATTGCTCCATTTAAAATTTTGCTTTCCACAAGCAATTTCCTGAACCAATTTTTAATTGATAAAAAAAAATTTAAAAAGAGAAGAATGAATTAAATCATGAGAAGGGATACTTTCTTTGTATAACCAAGTGAGGTGAGATCTTAACATTGTGTGATCTTGTTACGTGGATTTGCTTTAGTTTATAAACGCTCAAGCTTTAACAACGCTATCACCTAAAAGATGAACTAAATCTTTTTCACTTTCTCAATTTTTTTAATACAATTTGAAATTGAACACGTAACTTAATACAATCTATTCAAATTTCTCACCACTATATCAATCTTAGTGACTTCACTTCCTCAAGTTTTAATTATGTCCTAAGTCTCTTTTTGTTTCATTTTCATCGTAAATGCATATCCTCTTGGACTCTTGGTTAATCGTCCTCACTTCCTTACTCCGTCGATTCTTCATTTCTTCTCATTTATGTCTTCGGAGCAAACCCTTTGCTTCAACTCACGCCACATACCGCAATTTTGGTAGATATTATCTACTACTCTGCTTTCATAGGCAGTATGATATATTAAATTTTTCTGACCGTCTTGGCCAAGATCATATAATGTATGGATAGGAAATTTTGAATCTTTACACTGGTATACAAATTTTCCTATAGAAATCTCAATATACTAACTTAGCCACGTCATTACCATATATTTATATAGGATTTTACTTTTCTCATACCGTAGGAGATAAATATCTTATGTTATAGTACACATTTTATGTTGGTCTACATCTATTAAAAAAATAAAAGAAAATATTACACGAAAATTAAAGGATCATTAGTAGAAGAATTCTCCTACAACAAAAGAGTTGTTTTTCCCATTTATCAAAATAAACAGGAAGATGTAGATTTTTTTTTATATTTGAAGTGAACTGGGAAAGCCCTTGTGATTTTTTACCGGTCAGACTGGCTGTGATGTTGAAGCGAAATTTAATATATTAGTTTGAATTCCTAATATTCAACAAAGTTCTGTCTTTGGAAACTTTTCATTTATATTTGTCAACCTATACGAATATTATAGCGAAAAATGTCAAGGTGACACTTCCACGTTCTACCGTTTTTCATATTTTTGTCCCCTAATGTGATACCATCAATGGCTGGCCAAAGAATAGCACATATAAGGAAAGTCCAAATTGCTAAAACTGAGTCAACTTCAAATATTATAAGACAAAAAAAAGAAAAGAAAAAAAAAGCGCTTTAGTAGGGCAAACTCTTGGAACTTGTGCTGATAATCAATGACTTCAGCTTAGAAGACTCCCCAGCTGCATTTGCCCTCTGCGTTATTATTTCCATATTCCTATGCAAGCTTTGTGTCACCAAACTCTTCATCAATTTCTTGCCTTCTTTTGCCTCTCTTTGATTTACTGGTGAACCCATTGCAAATCTAGGTGTTTGTGGACCCGAATGTGGCCCCATCTTTTTTTGCCTTTCATCCTTAAACCATTGCAATAATTTCATTGCTCTCTTTTGAGCTAAAGGGCTCCCCAATAAAACCACTTCGAGAAGCACAGAAACAATCCCAGTCTGTGTCATTTTCTCTCTTTGGGATGAGCTTTGATGCGCTAGAATCATCAAAATATAAACTGACAATTCTTGGCATTTGGGTTTATCTTCCCATGACAATATCTCAATAAAGCTTTCTGGCACCATTGAGCTGTTCTCTATTGCTTTCTTTCCCATCAAAGTCACTAACAAGTTCCCTAGAGTGGCAAGTGCCTTCTCTGAAATTTCCTTCACTAAGGACAGTTCCAAGAGGATAGGAACAACCCCACTAGAAACCAAAGGGCCTGCATTCTCTAACACAGTTGATAGATTGTATAAGGCACCCAAACATGATTGTTTGGTATCAAAACTTGAGCCTGTCTCGAGAATGTACCTAAGTAATGGGAGAAAGTCTAATGAAGCAAGAGGGAATTGTGTGTTTGCCAGAGATGACAATGATAAAAGCAACTCTGCAAATTCACTTATTGTTGATTCATCTACAAGTTCAATTGTCTTAGGTAGCTTGGACAATATTCCTGCCTCCACTATCAAAGCCTTGTTCCTGAAGAAACAAATAACAGACACGTCAGACAACAAAGGAAAACATGTTTCAACTCAGTCAAAGTTAGGTTAGAATCAAATATTTGATATATTCTCAAAGTCAGCATAAACTAGTCAAGGTCCACTAGCATCATCCCACCTTCTTCAATTCATTTTTTTTCTTTCTTTTGATGGGAATGACGCAATTTGTGAACAAACAATAAGAAGGCCAAACCAACTATATTAAAAATAACATTTATAGCAGGGTGAAGTCAACGAGAATCTGGAATTAATATCAGTGTTGGAAAATGGAGGTCAACAGAAGACATAAAATTGTCCTAAAGATCATAGAGGAATCTAATCAACTACCCTGTATTTTATAATCTGTAATTAATAAATTTTAAGACCAAAATGTCGCTTCAATATGAACTTGGTCCCCTTGTAGCTCTTCCTACTACCAGCAACTCACTTGACACTCAGCGCACATTTTGGTGATTTAATATTAATTATGTTTCTTCCAACTAATACTTCCATAGCACGTTGTGGCATGGTGGTGACAGTAAGATTACGACAAATTTGATCCGAAAATATTGGTTAAATTCCATTCTCATATTTAATGCCATGAATACAAGTTTAAATAGTTTGATAACTTCTATATTTCTACAGCCTGTAGGAGAGAAACGTAACTCTAAATGCGAGGCACGGTACCTACCATGATTGTATTTGCTTCCGTCTTTGAAATGTTCATTCCTAACTTTTCTTTTTGTTTTATTCTATGGGAATTTATAGAATAACACTTTGGTGGTGATTACTGTGGAGTCATGAACCAAACCCGCCAAGGCCAACCCCCACTTTGTATTCATCAATTTGTCCTTGCTCCCCAAAAGTCAAAGTGAGCGGTTACTCAGCACTCATAATGGCTCCACTCTCACCGGTTTCTTTATAAATTATGATAACATATTTGTCCATATCATAAAATTTGGGAAATGAGAAGACACCATAAGTATGAGCAAAAAGATTCAAGTACTAATACATTCACCTCGTGAATGATTTCAAGTTAGTGGACCTTAACCCACGTACAAATTCAGTTCTAATTTCTTTATCATTTTTTTCACTCATAACATGTTAACCTAAAAGCATTAATTTTAACTTACCAAAAAAATAAATAAAAAAAATCCATTAATTATATCTTTCCGTGCCATTGGTTGGTCCTCTATTCTGGGTATGAAAATATGTTAGCCACGCACAACAACTCAGACTCTCTAAACTCATCTAATGTTGAATCAATTCAATTATTTCAACCAATAACATCTATAGGATTTATTAAATCAATCACTCGGTTTCGAATTTGAATTAAACACAAAAGTTTCACATCTCAAGTTAATAACAAAAGTTTTATACTTGAGCTGCTTGTTTCTGCTTGATCTTTTTGAATTCGAATAAAGACTATCAAACACTAAAAAAACAGAGTAGTTTTGGGTGGCAAGTGTTCATAAAGTGATTCATAGCAAAAACTAAAAAGACACAAAGAAATAAAACTGGAATTTTAAAACTTACGTGTAAGTTCCGTCAGCTAGGTGGATCAACGCCGTCAACCCTGCTCGTCGGCGGCTAGCAACCGGTGACTCCACCATAGATACCAACATCGGCACCACCCTAAATTCTGTTATCAACTTTCTAACCTTGACATCTTCTTTAGCTAACCTTTCAATCTCCTTTGCTGCCATCTCCTTCTCTTCCCAGTTCCCAAAGTGAAGCATCTTCACAGTCCTCTGCAAAAGGGTTGAAGACTCCTCCTCCTTATGCTTCTCCATAACTTGAACTGTTTCTAGATTCTCAACCTTCTTGTTATCTTCAGCTCTGCTTTTTGCTATGTCAATTCGATCAGAGGGGTCACAGCGCTTCCGGGTTGCTTTGGATTGAAGAAACCGTTTGATGCGGGCAAAGAACCGAAGCTTTATGGTAGTCAATACCCAAATAGAAGAAGAAGAAGAAGATGAAGATGAAGATGATGGAGTAGTACTAGTAGACATGTTTGGCTTGTGAAGGGAAGAGACAACCAAGCGAGATATTGAAAAAGTGTTTTTGTTTTTGTTCTTTTATAATTTTGTTTTGTTTCCGTTGATTTGGAGACAGAGAGAGAACAGAAGAGGAAGGTGCATAAAGCGAATCAATGAGACTATTAGAAGGCCTCCGTGAACTTAAAATACAGGGGAAGCAAAGAGCACATGCAGAGAACAGTGCTGTCCCATTATAATGTAATAGTGGATATTATGATGATACAAGATCTCAAATTATTCATTTATTAAGTAATGGAATTCATGCATAATCTGTACCTCAACTTAAGAAAATGCACATTTAATTGTTTATGCAGTTGTGACTATATTTTAACTAAAATATTATATAAGTAGAAAGGTAGTTAACAGTCCATGGTCTATGTTGTCATTTTTTTTAGATATAGTATTTGGCACAATATCACTAACGTTTAATGTTGAGTCTTTTTTTCTGCCACCTTCTCAACCTAATTAGTTTATAAATTAGTGGAGATGAAATATTAGGACCTAGTCATTGTCTTCCCAAACTCAATTTCAGGTGAGCTTCTTGGGTGGATAGAAAAATTGGGAACTCATTGTTCACTTGTCCCAAGTAGACCGAGTAATATGACTTGGCATTCTCTTCATTTCTTCATTAAAAGAGACAACTACCAACTAAATTGGGACTTTGGTTTCGATGTAAACCCACGTCCAGTGCACGTGAGAATCAGGGAGAGACCCACCTTATATGCTACCCTGTGGAACCATAAAATTTGGGGCAGTGCACACGTGTTAACATTAATGGACACTTACTATATCTTTTCATAGTTCTTCGTTGGTTACAAAATCTGATCTGGATCGGTGGCTGTGATATTCTCACATGCATTAGTGATTGATCATGTCAAGTTTCTCTTGCACGAAGAGGACCATTCATTCATTAATTTCTTCGATTCCTTTTTCAATCATGCTCCTGAGAAAGCAAGTGAAATCTAAGTCCTCAATTTATTTGGTATTCTAATGCATTTAAAACCAAACAGTTTACAGATGTATCATAGAGATTTGTGCTGGGAGAATCCAAAAGGAATATGTGGCTATGGTGGAATTTCTTAATAAATATAATCTAGAAGAAGCTATGCATTAAAGAGCATCTTCATTAACAAATAAAAAAGAAAAGAAAAGAAATAGAAATATTATTTTAGTTATATATCGGCTTTAAGGCATTTTGTATGAGAGAACAAATTCAATTTGATTAATTAAACAATAGTTGTGGTTGAACAAGCTGTAAGCTAGGATTTTCCAGGAAAAGTAGCTTATAAATCTAAGTGCACATGCAAATAAGTCATCACCAATTTTGACCCACAGAACAGAGCTATTAAGTTAGCAGAAACAAATTTTGGTATAGCTTTGGGTGGGGGATATATAATTTTGAGACTTTGATGGCTATGGTATTTCCATGTTGGAATCCACTCAAAATTTTTATTCATTTGTGAGTTGCAGGTACTGAAGTTTCTACACGTGTGAAGTGTGTGTGATTAATTTTTATTTTTGCTTTGGATTGGAGTGTGTGTGACAAGGAACTGCTGGTGCAAATATGATGTGTGCCACTCTCAGACCTTGCGTATCACCAACAACATTTGTTTCTTACTTCCAAGAACTTCAGATTAATATCTGCTTGCACAATTGGTTACAGTTACATATGAAACCGTGTAAAAAACTTAAGTACAAGCTATCAGCTACGAAGCACCTTCACTTCAAAAATCCTGACGTGTTGTGTCCGATACTTTCCGACACTACAATACGCGTTATAAAAATTCAAAAAAAGGTTCAAAAGTTGCGTTGCGTTGCGTTGAGTTTTTAGTTCCAACTACTAGATTCGAAGGATTACAATTATCATTTAATAGAATTTAATATAAATATTTGGGATATCTTATGTTTCTTTACAAAATTGATGAATATTATAAATTTAGTTTTATTTTTTTTATAAATTATTGTATATTAAATATAATATACACTACATAAATTAAAAATATTATTTAATATCAAATCGTGACCTAACGTGTCGAAATTTAACATTTTTTAAAATTAATGTGTCGGAGTATCGCGTCGTATTGTGTCACGTGTCCGTATCAGTATCGGTGCTTATAACGTACAAGTGTGTGCAAATGTGTATTACTTGTATAAATGAACTTTCGTCAATAAAATTATGGATTTTATGTTTATCATGTAACATAACACAACTTCACTTTTCTATACACACATTAAAGAAGTGGAGTCCACATGTTTTTCTTTCTCTTTCATCATTTCACTTTCTCTCTTTCTTTTATTGTGTGTGTGTTGGAAACAAAACTTAAGTTATGTAACATAACATTACCCTAAAATTATTATGTAAATTGGTTTTCACCGTGTATCTAATTTTCCCAAAAGACTTAACTTTTTAAGAATTCAAACTCGTGTTATTGTCCCATGAAATTGAGGTAACCAACAGCGAGTGAGATGTAAATACGTTTTGTAAATTTTAAAAAATTCCGACATCTCAATGCGTTTCCATTTGTAGTATGGACGCCCATGGAGCGTATATACACAATCTTTCCTCAGACACGCTTTCCATAAACAAAGGCCATGGGTATATATATAGACAGTAGTTTTCATGGAAAAAAACACTAGGAGGAGAGGAACTCGTGTCACACACACTTATGTTAACTTTTAATCTTGTGTGATTTATACAAGTTTTAAGAGTATCAGATCGTAAAGGTGAATGATTGTCCACTTTTAATAATTTATATCTTTCTCCCCAAGGTCAGGTACAGATTACATGTAATGCTATTTTTAAAAAATTGCAAAGAATTGAACGGAGTATTTCATAAAACGATAAAGGTAAGACTACGTGTAAAAAAAAAACTATAATTTTTGAAATGTTAAAATAATCATTTTTAAATTAATTTCTTGCCAACTCCATTACAAAACCCATGATAAAACATGGATCCAGAAATATAGAAACAAGAAAAAAAAATAAAAAAATCAAGAGCATAAGTTTTGTTAATGCCTAAAACTTAAAAAATCAAGAGCATAAGTTTTGTCAATGCCTAAAACTAAGTAAATAATTGAAAGTAAGTTGAGCTAATTATGACTCAATTCGTTAATAACTTAATTAACTTCGCTCGTTAGTTCTTGAATTGCCTTATATATAATCATGATTTCAAAGAGGAAAAAAGAAAGAGACATGACCCAAAAGGAAATCCATTAGTTTTGTATATGGCAATATTAATTAATATGATTAACCCTTTAGGCTTTTGATATTTGTTGGTATTGAACTTAATTGAGCAATATAGTCTAGGTAGTGTAAGCATTGATATTTGACTAGACTTTGTGATAGAGTCTTACATTGGTTAGTAATGTTGGTTAGGAGAAGTTCATGGCATAGTACCACAGCTAACGGATTAAGCTACATCAACTGTAACAAATGAGTTCAACTTTAATTATAAACTTAAAATCTTAAGGTATTAAATTTATGAGCTTTGAAATTCTTCTGTCACCGGAGAATTCGGACCATTCCTGCACACACAAGGCTGTCGCTATCAACTCTTTTTTTTCTTTTTCTAAATTTTCATGGGGTCCACGTTTTTTTTTGTTAGTGCTGAAATGTGTTAAAACTTTTCTGCAACATAAGAAAGTTTTAACCCTAAGTTTATATGTGTATAAATATTGGGGTTTAGTTTTCTCCTTTAACAGGAGAAAACTATTCTCATGCAGTTGATAAAAGAGAATAGGTTAGAAAAAAATCTAAGGTGAGAGAAAAAAAATCTAAAGTGAGACTCATTTATTATTTGTAGGAATGGATCATTTTCTCCAAGATTCCCCATAAATATTTACATTCATTCTTCTCTAACCCAAAAAAATTTCAGAAATGGATGGGAACCAGTGAGAAGCTTTGTTTTTCCTTTTTCCCATTCCATAAAAAACAGAATGCTGATGTGTTGAATTCCTTTTGTAAACTGATTTTGCAGGATACATTCTGGGTAAATTTGCACACCGTTTCATTGGTTAATGCAACCCCACACAAATTGCATGAAATTAGATTAAGATTCAAGGATTATAAATATATGGCTATGAGCCCTCCCTACATCAACTATAGCGCCATATTGTGATATTTTGGCAAAACCTGAACAGTGATATGATATGTCATCACACACGTGGCATAATGAAAATGGGCATCCCATTTTGAGATTTATGTCATCACACATGGGATATATAATGAGGAATGTGGAACACAAAATGGGTATCCCACTAATGAAATTTCATTAGTTTAAAAAGGTGGAAGGTTAGCAGTGCAAGGGACAATTTCCACAAGCAACACCAAGTGCAGTGCCACCTAAGGGATAAAGAAGTTGATAGGCTGATGACATGTACGGGTCTTGGTTGCAATTTTATCTAATGATGGCTCTCGAGACTAACAGAGACAGAAAAGTGTAGAAGACCCACTAGAGTACGCGATGCGTGCTTATCATTTTCGGCGAGACGTGGAGGTAGTGGACTTTTCAGAATATTTCAAGTCCTAAATAATCCTCATCATTTGGCACTTTTCATTGTTTCTCAGCCCAACTCACGAAGCTTCTTTTGTTCCAGGGTCAGTTTGAACTTTTAAAGCTCGTAGTCCACCATGTGTTTCAAGGACAATATAACGTTGACATACTCTATATGTTTATCATGAGTATGGTTAGTGCAAGGGTCAAATTATCCGAGGGACATTCAAGCAATTAAGGAAATTTCATTCTCCCTTCTTTTTAATTCTTCTTCCTTTTTTTGGATATCCGTGTTTAATTTGGCTGCAGCCAACTTATGCCTAATAGGCTAATCTTCACAGAAAATAATAGTAAGTTCTTGAAAATAGAAAGATTTGTTTTAGGTGCTTAGTAACCAAAAACATAATGGGGTCAAATACAAAGTAGCTGTATGATACTACGAATACTCATTCATGTGAATATTATATAAAAATTCAACACCATATATGTATATAATCATAAAAAAAAAAAAAAAAGAGCACAAGCAATAAAGAAGACTTCAAAGCAAATTATAAAAGATAAATGCACCAGCCGGGAATCGAACCCGGGTCTGTACCGTGGCAGGGTACTATTCTACCACTAGACCACTGGTGCTGAACTGTTCAACAACCGACGGAAACTAAATTTAAGGAAAACTAAGTTATCCAACCAACGGCATAACAGATACATATTATTAATGTAATAATTGCAGAGGGGAAACCATGACCAAAAAAGATATATCTTGCAAGCAAATTGCACTTTAAATTATTAAGTTCTGATGCATAAGGGAACGAAAGATCCATTAATTAATTAATAATACGAATTGCAAATACGGATGGAAGAGAAAAATCAATTTATGATCGGCTTCTTGGTAGTTTACTGTTTTAAATTGATAGCATGCTTCATTCATAATGACAGTAGCCCTCGGCTCGCACCCGAGGGACAGACTTTTGATGTACGATTACTAATATCCAAACTCAGCAAAATGGCTTGCCAACTCCATTACTAAACTCGATTAGCAAAATTTATCTCTTATGATTTCTTATGTCATAAGAGATAAATTTATCTTCTATACATATATAAAAGTGTGTCGGCCTCTTATTAACTCATGTGAGGAGAAGAGAAATAAAAAAAATTATATGAGCTCCACACATTTTTATCTCCTACAACATGAGAAACAATTAATCCTTAATTATATATCAATTATAAAAAAAACTCCAGCTGCTTAAACTCATCGATGCATGCATTTGACCTTCATACAAAGGCGTGATTGCACGTGTGCAGATTAATTTTACAATATATTACACAGTTTAATATGTTTATAAAGTTAAGTTATTAAATTTTTGAACTATAAGAAGTTAGCCCAAAAAGAAAACAACGTTAAGAGGCTTGTAGTTGTAGCCGTAGGTATGAATTGACTTGAAACTCGAAAGTTAATGAACTGCAGCACATATATTAATGTTTTCTCTCAATTATAATGACTTCAATACTTCATTATTCTGCACTCGATACATATCCAGCGCAACAGATCAAAAGACTACGCTAGCAATGGCAATATATATCAGCAATGACAGCGACAACTTCAACTTGAGAATAAAATTATATTTTGCCTGCAGGAAAAAAAAACAAAAACAAAAACAAAAACAAAGACAAAAACAAAAACAAACGGACAACTATCTAAACAAGGTATTAAAATGGCAATATTTGATTTGTTTCAGTATACATAGCAGAGTCTTGAACGCTTGCTTGGATTTGAAGTTGTTAGCGAGTACTCCATTGAGCTAGAAGCCTTATCCAATACAAAACTCAGTGCCTGGTGAACTTTACTAGCAATAACTTGGCATGTCTCAATATGAATCATGTCCCCTTTGCAGCAAGTATAGACAAACGCATTCTTCACCCTGTCTCCCAAAATAGATAGTTCTATCCTCACCAATTGTAGTTGAAGGGCTTCAAGAGTTTGTGTTAGCTCAGATAGTAGCTCAGGTCGATAATCACAGCAAACAGATGCCCTGTAAGACATTGATCCATCATAAGATGGTTCTACTTTCACTTCATCAGCATCCATGGGAATTAGAAAACCTTTGCTTGCTTCCGCTGCATTCTTCTTCAATTCCTTCACTCGGCTAATAACTTTAGCTAGTAATGTTGCTTTATCCATCTAAGAGTAACAATTGACCCCCCCAAATCAAAGTCAACACAAATGTTTTCTTACAGAATACGAAGGATTGTTGTAAATAAAAATAGCAGTACGTGGGTTGTTCCTTCCTCGTTGTTTAGCAAATTAACAAATAAATTTAGAGTAATAGTAGAACCGCACAACCTAATTGGATAGCCTAATGTTTACAGCAAAAATCAGATTAACAATAAACACATCCAGAATTTGTGTAGGGCCAGTGATATTCAGCTAGTGAAAAGATTAAATCTATTCTTTCATTTTCTTATCAGCATCAAAGAATATGCGTTTCATAAAACATTTTCACGGTTGGTATGCAAGAACATACCAGATTACAGTTTTTTCAAATGTTAACTCAAAAAATGCATTTTGGTCACAATATTTCAGTCGTAATAATTATATCAAAATCATATTTTGATAAAATATGCTGAAACGATTATAAGATCAAAGTGAAATAATATAATTCAAAATCGAAAGAATTTAATGCTGTTACAAATTATGATGAGTTACCCAGAGCAAACCAAAAGCTTTTCCAATGGACAAAAAATGTTGAAAAAAGCAATACCTTTGCGGTGCAAGGCACAAGTTCACGGAGGGTAGCAAGATGACTAGTAATTCTCTCCCTTCTCCTCTTTTCTGCTTCTCTATGGTTCTTCAAAGCCGCTAAAGCTTTGGCCTCGCGAATCTTTTTATGTACTATCATTGCAGGGGACTTAACAAGTTCTTCCTTCTCAATATCCGAATCCAACGAATGCGGTGATGCAAACCCGCCTCTTGAAATCCCATTTGAAGCACCAAGGCTATCTGAAGTGGGATTGAACACCCTCGAAATATCAGAGCCAGAAATCATGGTGTTGAGCTTTCTACTTGTACTGATGCTACTTCAGAAACAGAAGGTGGAAACTGGGTGAACTAGAAGTGGGGGAAGAAACGAAAAGAAACTTATATGTAGCTTGCTTTGTTGGTGGTGTTGGTCATAACTTTCCATTAAGCAATAGGACAAGTTTGAAGGGAAGAGGATGTTCAGTTATAAAACATCCACATTTTGTTGTTGATAATGTTTTTGAACTGCAGCATTTCGTTTAAGGTAGGAAAAGGGCAAAAGAGTTTTTTTGGGGAACTGAAAGAGTTTGGGAGGACTTTGAAGACTGTCTCGGATTTCTATGAATACAAAGAGAAAGGACAAGACCTTATGGAACTCGGACAGGGCTTCAGCCTTCAGGAAGAAAAAGCTCACCACTGTTGTAGATCGAGCTCATGTGGACGAAGAAACAAGGGGCTGATGATTCACTATAAATAAGATGGTGGTGTATTTCTTGTAATATAAATGTCAAAGAACACTTGCACAAAATAAAGTAACTGTTTTTAAAGTCTTAAATCTCATTATGTAGTTAATAATTTTTTAAGCAGATAGATTTCTATGCGCACACTTTCTGGAAGCAACTAAATAATAATTTAAGGATTTAATATTTTTTATATTATATAATTATATTTTTTTGAAGGGTTCGTTTCTTATATGGTCAATGTAGATAGTTATTTACATTAAATCTAAGAAGACATCGATTTGGGATAAAAATTAAGGTATTTTTATAATTATAATTTATTTTAGGGTTATAATAGTCTTTTTTATTATAATTTTTTAATTTTTCAATCTAAATACGTCGTTTTGGAAATGAATATAAATAACTTATCTACATTCACTATACAAATATTAAATCCTTTTTAAAATATATATCAAATTGAATAGGGATTATTTTTTTCATATAGCATGAGAGAACTATGAGAGAAGTTCTCTCATGTTAGAAACAAACAAAATTGGATCCATCAATTTTAAAAAAAGGAAAAGAAAACGAGACACAATTTTCGATATAAATATTACATAAAAGATCAATCTCATATAATTTTCCAAATATTAATCTTATAATTTAAATATATTAAATTGGAATACGCCAGCAAGATTTTATATATATATATATATATATATATATATATATATATATATACACGTGGGTCAGGAATATTTTACACCAGTGTAAATTACACTCTCAATCTTGTCCGTTGATCTCACTTATATATAAGGGCTCTAATTTTTTAGTAATATGAGTTATTGGATACAAGTGGATCAATAGTCAAGATTGAATATAAAACTTCTAACTCTTATACCGATGTAAAAATATCATCTCCCAGTATATATATTTCGTTTCCGTCTTTCTTAGACGTTTAAGGCTTAAATTGTCAATGTGATTGATTACACGGAGTGAAAATAAATTGCTAGATTTTGTTTATTCTTTTGCTGGGATTATATTTGGATGATTAAGGCCCCCCAGCCCTCTAGTCTTGGACTTTCATTACTTTTATTGAAATTATTTTCTAGCCGCTCGCTTTTAGAAAGTTACACGTACGTATACAGATTGACTAGTTATAGATACATCATTTAAAAGGTTAAGTGTATGTCATTTAAAAAAAAATAAGTTAGGTTCTTTTAGCGACTTATACAGAGTCAATAGCGAATTTAATTTTTTTTTAATGTCTGCACACTTATAAAAAAATTTAAAAGAAAATTTTAAATATATTAAAATACAAAAGAATATATATAAAAAAACTTTAACTTAATATAAAAAAAATAATCAAGAGTCAACTAAACTGTTATAATAGAATATTTTGAGTTCTCAACAAAAATTACGGGTCTCAATTTAATCTCTTAGGAAAAAAAATCTACTTGTGATCTATCAGAATTCAAAAATAGACCCAGATAATCAAAATCATGATCCTCTGAAATTCAAAAAGATCCACATTAATCTCTCAAAATGACTAACATGGATCTATTTTGGATTTTAAAGGGATCACGAGTCGACTTTGTTTTAAGAGATTAAATTGGATCCTGTGATTTTTGTTCATGACCCAATATATATATATATATTTTTTTTCTCCAAAAAATTTGTGTGTGCACTTGCACACACTAAAACCTACATAGGTTCGCCACTGCATACTCTGTGTAATTCTGTAAAGTTACTTTTTTTTTTTTACTATATACGTCAATGATATGACTGAGTAGAGAAAAAAAAAGTAATTCTTTAGATTTACACAAAATATGACCGGTCATATACTACGTGTAAATCATCTAAAAAGACACAACTTGTGTTCTTTTAAATGATACTTCTTTTTCCCTTAGTTAAATACTAGTTCTACAACTAATTTAGGTTTAATGAAAACTTATTAAACATTATTTAAAAAAAAAATTCATATTACATTTAATTTGGACTATATCATGATTTTATAATATGTTTGGTTCATTTTAAATATGAGAAAGAAAAAAATTCCGAAGCTCTTTCAAAGAGTTGTAAGAACAAAAAAAATGATCTTTTTTTCAAATTAAATTAATTCAAAGGCACGCTTAAAGATACATTCTTACTAATTCATTTTAAAGATAATTATACTTTAAATGAGCTTTTTTTCACTTTTAAATATCTTATATGGATTTAATGAAACTGTAATTTTCGAACCATACGCTTGTGTTTGGAATAGAAATTAAATGTGTTGAACGCTCGCCAACTCCTGATTAAAAAAACAAACAATTAGGGATTTCTGCTATTCTTAACAAGAGCAAGGTAAAATATTGGTATATGAAATTAGGAAGGCTTTTTTACCTTTATAACCTTTTATTAATAATTAATTACCAAATTGACCTTCATTATAAACTATTTCAAAAATTTAACCTCCCCAACAAACATAACACCAATCTGCCCCTGTTTGACCGTTGACCACCAAGTCTACCCGGGTACTCCCCTCCCTACCCGGGTATTTTTTGAAATTTTTGCCTACCCGGGTAGGGAGGGGTGTACCCGGGTAGAGTTCTTCAATCTGGAAAAATAGTTGAATTATTTACCCGGGTACATAGGGGTGTACCCGGGTAAATCTCCACCAGAAACCCCAAAACCCCTCCTAGATCTCTGCAGCAGCCAACAGACATACAATTTACAAAATCGGTTTCTCCTCCTTATCTTCATCTTATGTTAATTTTTTTATCCCATCTTCCCACGGTATTGTCACCTACCATTTGCTATGGTTTTTTCAAATCTTGGGTTGGTTGAAAGTTCTAAACTTTTTTTTGATTTCTTTGCAAGTTTGGTTTTGAATGAATGCTTCTGAGAAAAGGGTACCTTTCAACTTTACTGCTCTTGTACTTGTTCCTCATACAATTTTTTCCTAATCTAGTTTGTTGCAGTTTTTGAACAGGTATCGCTTCTTGTCATTGGATGTGTGAATTTCTGAACCTATTTGACAGAGGCCATGCATTATTCTGCCTCCTCCTGCTTCATTTTGCATCCAAGGCCTGGTGTCAGTTTTCGAGTTCTGTTAGAATTCCTGGTGATGACTGTTAATGTAAGTAAACTTACAAGTGCTATAGGAGTTGTTATGTAGCAGTCTCTTGAGTTCAATGAGATTTCATTTTAGTCTCTTGAGTTTTATTTCATTTTGGGGTTTTTGACAGAGATTTACCCGGGTACACCCCTCCCTACCCGGGTAAATAATTCAAACATTTTCCCAGATTGAAGAACTCTACCCGGGTACACCCCTCCCTACCCGGGTAGACAAAAAATTTCAAAAAATACCCGGGTAGGGAGGGGTGTACCTGGGTAGGCTTGGTGGTCAACGGTCAAACAGGGGCAGATCGGTGTTATGTTTGTTGGGGAGGTTAAATTTTTGAAATAGTTTATAATGAGGGTCAATTTGATAATTAATTATTAATAAAAGGTTATAAGGGTCAAAAAGCCAATTAGGAATGTATGTAATAAACATATCGAATATTAAAGCTATAAATATTTTTAGGAACTTTAGGTAGTTAATATCTTATCTAACTTTCAAACGCTTTTAAATTTAATTATAAGATATAATAAAATTTAAATTTCTGGTTCAATATGTTTTATAATCAACCTAAGAATTTAAAAACAAAAAAATTCAAATTCTTTAGAAATACATAAATAAATTAAATAATGCTGCAAATACTTGAAAAATAGAATGATTGACCATATTTGATGCGGTGAGGGTCAACTGAATTATAGAGCCCAATATATTCTGACTCGTGACTGTGAGAGTGACTTCCCAGATGTTATACACCAATAAAACTAAAAAAAAAAAAAACCTTGTTGAAATCAAGCCCAAGCATAGAATTATTTGTTTCTTATGTAAGATGTTATTTCTTTGTTTTTTTCAGTGCCTTTTTTTTTCTTTTTTTGGCGCTACTTGTTTTATTTATCCACTTAATATATTTCTCATTTATGTATACACATATAAATGGGTGGAATCATATGAGAAAAAAGAAAAAAGAAAAAGTAGAATCGATTCACTTAGTCTGTTGGAGATAAAGTTATTTCTGATTTATTGAAAAACATTAAACTCTTTATTTTATATACATTTTCATTAAAATTTTAAAAGAGAAGCAGGACATAAAAATATTATTGTTTACATTAATTAGACGCGGGGAAATACTTAAACTTTTTATAATTCTAGGAAGTAAATATTTGAATTAATCCTCCAAAAATACACAAATATTATATTAGTCTCCTAAAAGTTTTAAGGATTATTTCGATCCTTTAAGGTTTAAAATAGATATTAATTTAGTCTAGTAATTTATATTTAAACGTTGATTTAATTCTTACTATAATATTGTCTCAAATTTTTTATGATCAATTAGTACTCAAAATTCTAGCAATCACTTTTTTCAGAAAGGCGACGAGGTAGTACTCCATCAACTTTCAAAAGTTTATAAAGATGTCTAATATATAGGTTCTTTTAAATTAAATTAAAATATTTTAAAATATTAATAAATATATAATTAGTTGAAATATA